ACTTTAACATCTTATCTAGATCCATAGTTTTCAGCTTGTCCTTGACTTGTCTATCCATAGTATATAGTCATCACATCCATCTTATTTGTCTATTCCTTTTTCGTAGTTCAAGCTATCAGAATGGTTTTGTCAAACATTAGAAATTGTCTATTGTATTGTTTGAGCAAATGATTCTTCTTTTTCATTTATTTATTGGTCTCTAGACTACTCAATCTATTGAAACTTATGTCATCGTCTTCACTTAAAAAATTCTTAATCAATTGAAGTAATGTCTTACTTCTTGAATCAACTTCCATCCCTTTTCTTTGACTTTTGAACACCTTAATGCTTTCCAGTACCTCTTCCTTCACCCACTACTCCATGTTAAAACACAATCATTTTGTATTTATCAACAAATCAGGAACAAAAAAATTTATTTGAATACTTGTAAGGAAAATTAAAGTCCCAATAGAACTATCATCGATTTTCTATCATGTCACACACGTTTAATCCAACAACAAACAAATCTTGCTGAAACTAGCCACGCAAAAAAGTAGTGACAAGAGTTTAGAATTTAGGTTTGTACTAGCAATAATTTCCTATCATATCCCACACGTTTGATCCAACGATAAGCAAATCTTGCTGAAACTGATCGTGCAAAGATGTATTGACAAGAGTTTAGGATTTAGTATTATACTAACAATAAATACCTATCATATCACACACGTTGATTCAACAACAAACAAATCTTGTTGAACTGGTCACGTTAAAAAGTAGTGAGAAGATTTTAAGATTTAGGATTATAGTAGCAACAACATGTAACCATTTTAAGTTAGATAAAATTGAAATAGAGGTTATACAAGAAGTAAATAATAATTGATTTTATATAATATCAAGTGCCATATTTTGTGCTTGATAGATATATGGTAAATTTATTAGTTGATATCAACATGTCAACTTGTTAGAATAGGACTGAATGTTTGTTAATGTGTTAGTTGAGGACGACATTTCAACAACCCGTGTGCTTGTTAGAATTATTCATCATGTCATCAATGGATTAGGAATGAAATAGATGGTGGTTATAAGATCTTATCTTGTTATTTGTGTTACTAATATATATATGTATATATATATAAGAGTAGAATGATTGTAAGTTATCTTTCATCTTCAGAATTTTATTTCATCTTCGCATGAAATATTCTCTTAGTCCAAGTGTTACACAACATTATCAAGAACTATATATGAGAGAGTATAACCATTGTAGGTTATTTCTCATCTTCAAAATTGTACTTCATCTTTGCATAAAATCTTCTCTTAGTCCAAGTGTTTCACAACATTATCAAGATTTATATAAGGGAGAGTATAACCATTGTAGGTTATCTCTCATCTTCAGAATTGTATTTCATCTTCGCATGAAATCTTCTCTTAGTCCAAGTGTTAGACAACATTAACAAGATCTATATAATGGAGACTATAACCATTGTAGGTTATTTTTTATCTTCAGAATTATATTTCATCTTCGTATGAAATCTTCTCTTAGTCCAAGTGTTACACAACATTAGCATTCGAACACACACGCGCAAGCAAATTAATTACGAGCGCTCACTCCTCTTGTTTTCACTTCAGCACGGATCATTTAGATCTTGAAATGTACAACTCCTTTGTTGCATAGAAAAATTCAAGTACATTACATGATCCAATGCTCACATCGTCTCACATACATAAGATCTATGAGTCCAAATCATCAGAAAAGGTTTGACATTAGAAAAAGGATAGTTTTCTCAAACAAGATTGATAGCAATCAACAATTTTTTTTTTTACTGGGATGTCCAATCGAAACCACCACAATTGCTTTCATAGCTTTGATCCATTGCATACACAATATCTATAGGTCCAAATCAACAAAAGTTTTGACATTAAAAATATGATAGTTTTCTCGGACTAGACTGATAGCAATCAACAAATTTTTTCGTTCGACCGGACATATATCAAAACCACCACAATTACATTCATAGCTTTGATACATTGTAACGTCGATCCATCCAATAGTCGATCCATCCAATAATGATAACTCACTTTTTATTGTTAATTCTATGCAATAATTATCTGCTCCATATCTATGAAGGTAGAAAACAGTTTCGACACCCTTGTTAGTAGGTTCTCCCAATCAAAAACTTAGCTTTCAAGGTTCATATCAAACCCCCTACTTGATGCATGTGGAACAGTTTGCAGTCATGTGTGATTTTGTCTTTCGCAACTTGTGCACACTTTACGAGCCGGTCAAGATAAAAATCTGTGCAACTGTGGGACGTGGATAATGAACGATCTATCATTTGAAACGCTGCTCGAGGTTCAGATGCTTTGAAGACAAAAAACGCCGATATCTACCAAGCTTGAGCTGGTATCTACCCGTTGTATAACCTTGCAATTTTATTCTTTTGCATCATTACCTCCCTCCTCCAGTTTGTTCTCCAGCGTTGCTTCATTGTCTTTTATCCGTGTACTCTCAACTTTTCAGCACTCGACGTCCATTTCATGCCACAGCTATTCGCATAAACAGATTTCTCATCTTCACAACACAGCTACACTCTGAATTGGGAACGACGACATGTTGGAAGATTGACAAAGCTCCAAAAGCTCAACTTTCAGTGTGACGACATTGGGTCGTATCCTGCGGCCATACATTACAAATTACACAAGATGCATTCGTGGATTGTGAGCTGCGGAAATTTGTCTTTTTACATCCTAGGGTATGGAAGCAACGGATGGCTCTACATGTAGATGTCGTACGATTTCCGTGGAATTTCTTTCATGTCTCTCACCACATTAGACGTAAAAATCAGCCTTTTTAGCATATATATAATATGATGGACATTCATAGTAGTCTTTCGAGCTTAATTATAGTTAATTAAGCTCGAAAGACATTACATGCTACTATGATCTATTAACATTAACTAGTTGTTAAAAGTAGTCTTTAGAGCTTTTGATGAACCTTATTGTATGACCTTTTTTCATCTTTGCTTTCGTGTATTTAAACTTCTTGCTTTCCATCTCAATCAACGTTTTCATGGGCTGACACTTTCACTCGTGAGCTTAGGGTGTGACGAAGTATTAACTAGTCGTTTTGCTGATTATCCCCTTAGTTGATGACAGATCTTTTCAAGAATTGAGCAAAATTTTCTTTCGGAAAAATTAAGACACAACAAGTCGCTGCGCTCGCTCCGAAACTGTCCACCAGCACGCCACCTCCTTTTCTTTGCAGTAGCCAGCACGCTGTATCGATGGGCCTGAAGTGGCAGTGTCAACTTTATAGTGTCAGAATCCCACAAGTTGCCACCAGGAATGCCGCCATGCTACAAGACATCTTGCATATAGTGCCAACTCCTTAACACCCTCTGATCAGACCTCATCCAAAACCACACAAAATAAGATACATACCGCATTGAATAATCTACAGGGAGTACAGTAGCAAAAATAACAAAAAGGACGAGAAGACCAAGGCGGTAGGATGGGGCTAGGCCCAGTAGCATCAGAATGGAAACTATGTCTTGCTTCAACTAAGACACCGGAACTAGGTCATCAAAAGATCTGCATCTGGAGGTCACTGCAACTATCGCCTAGAGAAGCAAGAGAGCAAACAAGCAATGACCTCTCCTTACCGGGTGGTGACACCATCGTGTAGGCCAACTTAAGACAGACTGACCATAGTCACATATGATACTGGAGCCTCTTTTTCATTTAACAAGGAACGACAGGCGGAGATCGGAGAGTGAGACGAAGAGAAGCTGCCTGAGAGACTGTGGGGTAGTTAAAATGGAACCGAAAGTACAGCTCGGCTGCAGATTCGGAATGGACGCAGGGCGGATGAGAACAAGGAGCAGATATTTCACCGTGCTCTACGAACGGGGTTACGGGAACTGTAAGATGTGGTGGGAGCTGACACACCTGTGAGCTGAATATTATATGCCTGCGTGCCTTGACCCCGAGTATCTGTTGCAGTGGACTCTAATGCGCTGTCCCAGAAATCGGGGAGCCGCACCGCTTGGAAAATGTGTAACCACTTTGTTGGTGGGCTGGGGATGAACGTATCCAGAATTCCTGGCAGCAGCGGCAGCGACAATTCAAATACACTGTACAGGATTTGACCTTTGAGAAAACTCCATCCGGCTTCGGACCTGCAAGAAAGCCACTCGTGCCTCGATTTGTCTCAAGCACATTGTCAGCATCGGGTGCTCGTTTGTTCGTTTCTCCCTAACCCCCCACACCCACCACTCGACCACTGACGCTGGGTACGTGACGTTGTCCGGCTCTGCACCTCACACATCATGAATCCCACGACCTTCTCATATTTGCTGCCCTGTCACTTGCTGGACCCAGTAACTCGAGGTCGTTGCTTAGAAAACCAGGCTTCTTAGACCCTTTGGCATTTCTGAGAGAATTCAGCTCTTTCCGCACTCGCGCTCCCTTTTTTATGGAAACATAAGTAGACAACTCTTCGGTTTCCAGATTCTTTTCCAGATTGCACTAGGCAGCGTGTTGTAAATCTGAAACTGAGATAAAGTGTGGTGAAACACGTAGCCCCGGAAGAAATCTGACAGTACCAAGGGTCCACCGTCGTTTCCGTTGCATGTGCGACGAGACAGGACTGTTGAGCTTATTGGCGTAAATATCAGGTAATGCATTCGCCGTCAGCGAGGTGTGAACCGCTACTCCTAGTATTTCGCAAACCTTTAGACGATGATTACATTCAATACAAGCCATCAGTATTTGACTGTCTAAGAAAGTAGAGTTTGTTTGCTGTTCAGAATTGGGAACAGAGCGGATGCCATTTGAAATGTGAAATAATATCTCCATGGTTAAAACTCAGTCGGATCAGACCAAGACACTGACAAGGAACCGACTTCGACGTGCCGACCTTACTCGTATGCGGCGACATAAAATGCGTGAATTGGACCCTATTCGAAGGGACTTGAAGGTATCACACGCAAAAATATATTGGCGGATGGATGCGGAAAACGGAGGCGGGTGTAAATTGGCACCCTGATTCTGATTATCTTAACTCAGCCAATTTACGGGAACAGAATCAACAGTGTGCAATATGAATGTCGATCAAATGCTATGAATGGACTAATTAAATTACAGAACACAATGAAGGCTCAAATAAATTCACGAGGACAATCTAGTGAACTCTACACAGATTCTAGACCTGACAAGTACGAAAAATGGCTTCGGAGATATAACCTCCTTGACCTGTCTTGGCCTCGATGAAGGTAAACTACGAACCTTCACACTCTCTTCCTCCCTAAGTCCTCTCTCCTCTCTTTGCCTTGTCATCCACTCAGTCAGATTTGAGACTGGAACCGAGGAGTAATTTCTTGTCAACATACGTCACCTCCTGGTTTGCGACAATAGGAAGCAAACATGTCTAAGCAGAGATAACGCACGTACATATTGGAACATACAAGGAACAGCTCTTCGGTTCTGGCTTCTCAGGTCGCTACCAAGTAGCAGTATGCTTCAGGTCACTGCTGCGTTGCGTATCTCGTTCAAGACTGTCCAAATTGTTAAGGGAAGGCAAGCTGGAAGCTCTAGAAGTAATCTTGACTGATAGAACGTCATCCACGTGGTTCCAACTCGCATATTCTCTAGATTTGTCATCTGGACTATGTAATTGCTCCTCGTAATCCTCCTTCCCAACGGGAAATTCTTAGGACACAACTAGGAGAGTGACACATTCTGATCCGAATTCATATCCTCAAACGGAATATGAAGCTGGACACTGCAGGGTATCGGCTACGCAGCCGAACAAATTCTGGCGGTCCACCCGGATGAGAGCTACTCAGGATACAGGGAGGTGCGAATGGTACCAGCATAACCCCGATATAAAGTATTGATCCTGCTTTGTTGGTGGATTCCTGAGTCTTAAACGATGAAGCATAACTGAACTCTGATTGGTAATGGACCCAACTAACAGGTCTCATTTGTCTAAAGGAAGTCCTCTGTTTCAGTAAGTATCAATGTCTGTGATAATGCCGTCTCCTGACACCGAGTTCACCTTTTCCCCTCACACCCTTTTCCCGTAGTCGGTATACTGTTGTTATGTAGCCGATCACTGCCATGGCATGAAACGCCCTATACGGAGCAAGGGCAAGACCTGAGATGTAGCAATATATACCAGCTACGGCGTAGAAGACGCTTAGTCCAGCATATTCCAAGGGCAGCCCAGTTAATCGTAGTTTCGAAAAGAGGCTAATATTAGCGTCCGAATTGCTTGCGTATAGTCCATGAAGTATTAGACCGAAAGAAAGGAAAGAATCGACAAAGGATGGCAACGTTCTATCCATTCCGGGCCTCTGAGAAAACAACAAAAGAGTTACGTCAATGTTCAAGAAAATACTTCATGTGACAAGAATTCGCTGATAAATGGAAATGAGAAGACTGACTCATTGGCTCACAAATCAAATTTGCTATAGGCCTGACATTTCGGAGAAGCATAGTTGTTGAAATAGCAGAGGCAAATCGGATTTTGAAAAAATTGGAGGCTAGAGATCCTCACCTGTATCCAAGCGACTAGAGAAGGCATGAACATAATGGTTGCCAAGAGGTGCAGCAATAGCAAGCCTTGACGTTGATGAAACACTTCTAACTGAGTTTCTCCAAAAGTGGTTCCGGAAGACTCTAGACTGGGAAAACCGTCAACTTGACCTTTCCAGCCTTCTACGCCTTTTCCAGGCGAATTACCTCTCTTCGATGGCCTTGGAAGATTTTTCTGCTGCCTGTGGCTGCACAAGAAAAAGGTTTAATCCATAAGAACTGGAAATGAAAACGCTGAGTGCTTTTGCTTTATGACTTCCTAAAAAAGACTAGCGGATTTATTGAACTGCTTGACCTTGATAGTCGTCTCAAATGTTAGGCTGCAAGCACTTGATGCTGAATCTCAAAATGTTGTTACCAAAGGAGAAACTTGAAGTCACCTGAGACTATACCTACAGAGTGCACCATGGCAACTCCATGCATGTGCAAGAAGTAGAATTATCAGCCCAAGAGCAGGATGTACGAGATAAACCAAGACAGTGGCCACGACTGCCACAGTCAAGGTTGGTTTGGCTCTAACTGTTCGGACAACCTGCAAAATTAGATGAACACCAGTTGACAGCTGTATGTAGAAAATTCGTCATCTCAGATCACAAGCATATAACAGATAAATGCTTAAAAAAGGGTGAAATTCTTCATCGAGCTTCTTTCTGTGGAAAGCTGACTTATAAAAACCTAGCCACCGCAACAGGCAATGGTTATATGGAATAGGTTGTCAGCACCTGCAACGTTGAACACCCAGACATGCAGGTAAGCAACCATCTTAATCCTCGAGTGTGCCACCTGCCTTCCCAACTTTGCCACCTTCAGAAAAAAGCAGTCAGTTTCATGAGAATACGGAGCTCGACATGCGAACAACGACACATGCTGTACTGTCAGATCTCCAGAATCATGGATCGATCTCAACGTATACTAACCACCAAATTATGAAACATTGTCGCTTCTAGAAAACCAAGAAGTAAAAGTAAATAAACAGAGGTTACTCGGTTACCTGATCTTCAGAAAAACCTGAAGGGAAGCAGCTGTATAGAAAACTGTCATGCTGCATATGGCTAGGACTGCAATCGCCCCGTTGGCAAAAATATAGCAGAAACTCGAAACGGCAACAAAACTCAGCAATGGCGGTACCACGTGAGTCCCAAACACAGTCAACATCACATAGACTGCAAGTGGGCCCAGTGCGAAGGTTATGAAGGGAAAGGGAAACATCATGTTGGACTCTACGCAATTTAGCACAGATGGAACTGGAGCGTCTAACTCCCATGCCCGCGCCTGCCTCATCATCGCAAAAAATAAGACTGCTACAGTGACTGCAGCAACCTGCAGTAAGCGGGGGAGACGACCTCAGATGAGTCACGTTTTTCCAGGGGATAAATTTAGTCGCAGACAAGATAAAAGAAAATCCTCGCGAGCTCAATAAGCAAATCAGCACTCTGACTTCAAGTCTACCATCAATCACTACATAAGAGGCGTCCAGTCCGGAGACTTAAATACAACAATAAATATCCTTGGGTATAGCACACTGAAAAGCAAGCAAGAGGTTGAAAAACAAAACAACTGTACCTGCAGGGAATGCATGAGAAGGAACCTGCTTGCAGCAGCAAAAAGTGAAACTTTCATGCTCACACGATATTCACAATGAGGGTCAACCTGCAAACAGGTAGATGCGAATTAGAGCCAATTCTTTATCCAGCTAACCCAATATAGAGTTCACTTTAGCACTTTATTGAGCTTGTAACAAATAAAACGCCACGATAAAGTTTCTTTGATTTTGTCTTCGAAGGAACTTTTATCCATACACGATAGTCAAGCCCGGTCGCCGGTTTCAAAAAAGTTAAACTACTTTGATAATAGTAAACGTTTGGCAATCTCAAAAAAAGAGCCAATCATCGCCTATGGGTTGCCTCGGGTATTTGCCATGTGTCCTCTGTACTAAACATCGAAGCCCATATATTCTAAAACTTTAGATACTTTAAATCCGTTTCTTTGACGTACCAGAAGAAGCACGGTTGTTTTTTCTGATCCATATCTGGATCCCCAAATAGCTGGCGATGAGTCTACCGAGATAGTTTCGTGATAAAGATTGGGAAAAACTTCTAAACCTGAAGGAGGATCCCAAACGAGAACAACAGGTGGAAAACAACGTAACTTGCATAAACCTGCATCAACGAAATAAAGTGTCCGATATTAAGATCCACCCGGACAAGAAATTTGGTATCAGGGATTTAAGAAACTGGTCTGTAGAAAGAGGCTAATGCCTCTTTCTACGGCAGAACATTTTTTTGAAGACACCCTAAACCCTAAAAATCCTCGAACATGTCATTCATAGAGGAAATAGTAGTATTGCGTACGTTGGTACATGCACATTCCACGGAAATACTTCACAATAAGCATGAAAGAACAACTTACTCATGAGTTCACTCTCAGTCGGCTTGGATTTCGCTAAAACTGAGTCTGTCGAGCCACAACTTGTTGTGTTGATTTCCAGCGACATTGGTAGTGTACCCAGGCTGACAGCCATCGAAAAATCAGCAACAATAGGATGATTTTCCTTGATAATCAATCCCTGCACACCAAAAGTCACATTGAGTAAACACATATGTCCACGATATCAGCTGCTGAAACAATAGAGATCGGCATACAAGAAAACTGCAGTACATGTATCTACACACAAAACAAATCGTTAAAAATTCAAGCAAATTTGTCAGTTCCCAATGCCAGCTGACTTATGTACTCGGATATATCATTGAACTTCATGGATCTGGCCATACTAGAAAACTCAATCAAATGAATAACTGGGCACCTTCCGACTCGCTCATATTTCCAACAACTGTGCTAAATGCTAGCAAACGTCTTCATGAAGGATATACTTGAAAGTATACCTGCTGTTTGTATGTCGAAGATAAAAGCCACCAGGGAGAAAAAACGGTTTTGCCATCTTTTGGATTGTAGAATTGTCCCACGGCCATGGAAGCTGCTGGAGGTGGGCGTCCTGAAACCGTCTGTTGTTCAAAAATAGATTAACAGTTTGACCAAGTGATAGCTCTCCTAGTCGATTCAATCTCTTCCCTCGAGCGTAATTACAGAAGCATTCACCACATATACGACATTCTCTGAGGTTGATTTAAAGTGGCTGTTCACATCTACGGCACTTCCTACATCATCACTCACGGAGTCCTCCCAGGTACGCCTTAAATTTTCATTATTATCAAAAAATATCTCCCCAACATTGAAGACCTAACCTATGTTCACCTGTGACTTCCCTAACAGAAAGAGAGAGCCAACGCTAACTACCAAGCTTACAACATACCGGACGAGGTGCAACAGAAATAGTGAGATAGCGAAACCCCTGCAGGTCTAGAGCGCTCAAATGAAGCACTCCGGAAGGTGGAGGTTGCTCTGTCTGTCCGCCCGGCTCTATCTGATAACAAAATAACGGAAGACGTCAACAGATTTCTCGCATCCTAAAAATAAAGCTGCTCGAAATTTCATCTTATCAGTGGTAAAGATCAAAGATAAAAGGCATGCAAGAGCTACTGGATGTCATTCAATAAGAGATACTTTCTTCCCAACAGCATATAGGGACAAAGACTCAACACAAAATGAACAATGCCTTCCACCATCACCATACATAATGGCACTAACCTGTGCTTGTGAAGGCCCAGCTGGAATTTGGGCCATCTTCATAGTGACCTCCAACAGTCTTTGATTCAGAGCTTTCTCACCCTCTGCATTCTTAGCTTTCTCTGGCCATAGGTGCACCCTAACTCCAGTACATGGTGCCAGGTTTGTAACCAACGTAAACCAAGATTTACCCTTTGCTGCCTGCAACCATGACGTGTGTTCGAGTTATTCAAAAAGAAACTCTTGAAAGGTCTCCCAGCCCGCAGATACTGCATATAGAGCATTATATCTTCCTTATATGTATGCTTCACATTCAACTTGCGTGTATCGATGAACCTTAGACATTTTGCAAAAACAACCATCGAATTCTATCTTGAGAAGACAGATAATCAGCACACCATTCTTTGTATATCCATCCACCTCCGTCTTCCATCCATTGCAAGCACTGTAACGGTTGGTTGTTCAACTTCAAGGTCTTTCTCTTTGCTTTCAACTATCCAGCGAGTAGACTTGGGACATGAAAAAGCAATATTTTCCGCTCCTTCTGTGAGCTTTGACGTTCCATCCCCTTTGACCAGCTTACCACCTTCGGCAACTAGTCTTCGTTGTTCTCCGGTAGTTTGAACCCTGTCTGAAAGTATACACGGCAGAAGAAAGTGAGATCAATTATTTTGCGACAACGATGGGTAGCGAGAAACTAGTTTGAATTAAGGTAAACAGCTGTCGGGTATTACTCTCGTTTGTATCGTCAAGCCCATCGAGTAGTTGCGAGCTAGAACTCGGTAACCACCCAAAAACCTGAGGCAGCGCGCTCCTCAATTTGGCAACGAACACTGCAAGCCGCATTTGCGGATGATCAAATGGTTGTCCTGTCTTCTTGTCAACGAGCTGAAGAAGGGTATGAGCCACCTGTAAAGCAACGGGTCTCCGTCAGCAACAATGACGTTAACGATAGAGAGTCCATGTTCACTCAGCACAGATTCAGCAAATTGTTGGTAGTTCAAGCCAGACATCAGCCTCTAGGTATAAACCCTATACACAATCCACGAGATGAAGAGAAGCACCAAGCTGGCAGGGTTCAGCTCCTCTCTCTAAATTCCCCATTGCTCTCTCTCCACAACGTGTAAGAAAGAGTTACTGGTGTAGACAGAAGACATGACTAACATGTCTTGATAAGCTGAATAACATGTGTTGAAACTGAATTAACTCACTTGTCATCTTCGATTTTCTAAGAAAATAAATCAGAGATCAATAAAAGTAATTGCTTGAATGCATGAATGAAAAAAGCTTTCCAAATTTTTTATGAAGCATTGCACACCTGTGTATCATGGTCCGTCTGTGAATGAAAAAAGAAATAAAAAAAAAGTGGTAAAGACCGTGATTACAACATGTCATTGGACAATAAGACCGGTTTCTAAGACCAACACGTGGAAGAAAGGCAACAACTGATGTATTCTGCTCACTTAAACGAAAAATCATAGGAGATAAACAGCGAAACATTCTAACGTGTAAGGTAGGACTAACACTGACTGCAACGAAGTGGTTTGAGCTCAAGTAGGTGAATGACGATTCTTTGGCGTAAACAATACCTGAACCACCAGTTGATTGCACCAAAGAATGCTTTGGTGCTCCATGGAAAGCCAAACGTTCAACATTCCTGGAGCTCCGATAGTAAGCCCATGAGTTGGTGGGACTATTCCCTCGAGTGAGGCAAACCTGGAACGGACCTGTAGACGGATATGTCCACAATATAAATAAATGTCTCGCGAAAATCTTCTTGCCACGAAGACACCTTAAACCACGTACAAACGATGATTGCCTAACCAGCCTTTGCAGGTACAATGTGCGAAGGGACTTTGTTACAGGAAACAACAATTTTAACAACTCTAATTAGATCAAAAGACTTACAAGGAAGAGTAACCAAGGAGGGCTTATTTAACATGGGGGTACGAATAACAAAAATATTATTTTCCACCCACCCAACCATCGACGCAGGAATTGAGTCAGGTTGAAGGTGCTGTAGATTGTCCACATAATAGATACCTGATAATCTTGGGTTCCACCAAAGACTGATACCACCACAACTCGACCCAGTGGAGGTTCTGTATTGCGCTTCCTACCGGTCCTTGTAGGTGGAGTCTCATAACCTTTTCTCCAGGCGTCGTTGACCCGAGTGAAGAAGTGCCCGAGAGACGGCTGGAGCGGGAGAGGCGCCAACCTACAACTTACAAGGTTTAGAAGTTTAGAGGCGACCCATCTGGAAGTCTCAGTTGCTTGAACGCATTCTTATGTAGGTGTCATTACAATGGTAAATTGGAGTCTGCATGGAGGTGCCCATTTTCATTGGTTTACGTCTAGTAAGCAGAGAAACTGGAAAGAAGAATACTTTGTTTAAAAAGAAATTTGAACTTGAATTAGAAGAACAAGGCCTATATACAAGCAGAAAAAATGGTGGTCAACGCAGCTAGGCTGAGCAGTACGGACGGGGTGTCAGCCAGGCACAACACCACTGACTTTCTCCAAACTTGGCATGGTGTGTGCCTGAGTAACATTTGCCTCAATTCCCCGAAACACCTACACCAAAACAACTTTCATCTCTAACAGGTACACAATCAGGAGCGTATCGGTGCAACAAAGCAAGGTCCTAATTTCGGACACATTGTCCATGCTTGAGAAGTTGAGAAGCTTGCGGCAGGGTGCTTGATTAACGAGGAACTTACAAGTGGGGACTAGAAAGGGTAACGATAGTTTCCACGGCACCCTTTCTTAGTTGAGGGTGCACGACGGCAGCTCTTGCAACAAAACCTCCCATAGAGTGACCAACCAGAATCACACTCTTAGGTAAAAATTCACCAGTATCCTTAGTCTGTATGGATCTCGCTTCCATAGACTCCTTATACCGATCGAGAATCTGCATATACATAGATTTTTATTGAATTAGTCCAAATATCACCAAACAAAACGTATGCTTCTCCCAAATTGAGACAGTAACCGGGAATTAGAACATAACAGCTGTAAGCTCTCTCCATGAACTTGCTATCCGAATCCCACTACAGAATATATCCTAAAATACCATGACCATGACAACGTCAGCGCAACTAAGAAATATCAGCAGCACCAGATGGCTGAAAGAAACTAGTGACACCAGAACCCGTCGGTGCTGTAACTGGGAATGCCTGACTGAAAGTGACTTCAGTCTCCAAGAAGTACCTGAATTATTATTGAGGAACAACCTTTGCTGAGCGAGGCAAGAAACGGACAAATTGCTATGAAAGTGCACAAGACAAGACCATTTGTTTTTTCAATTATAGAGATAAGACTATACTGGAAAAGAGATATACCCTGTTGATTGCTTGCACCACATAATCTGTGTGTTCTTCCAGTATCCTCCCGTCCATTGCGGAGTGCTCACCCTCCAAATCGACAGTGAACCAATCTAATTTGTTGGCGTACTGCTCTTGGGCTGTGTACAAAACATCCTTTCTGAGACCTCCTAGAGAACTAGAGCCAGCTTCTTGAGAAGTAAATCCAGCTTGTTGGAAAAAGCTTTCCTCGAATGGACCTCCATAATATGCTCTATCCGATTCTGCTGCGATGGAGCGCACCTGAGTTGAAAACAACAAAATCTCTGAGAAGCACGCTCGTTTAAAAGAAGGATGCTGTGAGAAATCTGGTGACCAGCAACAGTCTCTTCAATTAGAGGGATACTTGAGTACTTTTTGAGCGTTTTAAAGTTACGGTCCTTGAAAGTATTATGATGAGATTTTGATATATTCATACGCTTGGACATTAGTTCTACTTTTTTAGCACTCGCGGCGTTGGTCCTTGTAGATAGGTCTTCAAACATCTTAGGCCAAACAAATCTCATGATAAGGTTGCTGACTCCTAGACACAACAGAATTGGTTCGACATCGAATATTTGACCATAATACAAGATCATCAAGTCAATGTTAGACTGTGAAAGATCGACATGAAAGTTTCTTTTTCTGGGTAGACCGGAGATCAAGTAGACAGGATTACACTGGAAAATCAAAGGAACGAACATACGCATTTACTCGGTGCAAAGCGTAAAACTTAAACCTGATATCTTTGTAATGGGCTCCGTCATAAAGATCAAATACTTACTAGATTACATAGTGCCAGGCACGAAATCTGGGCTAACATTTACTTCAAATCCATTTTTGGCATAACAATATCTCCAGTCAATGTATTCAGAAATTCTCAATGCACTTCGGCGGCTGCAGATGAAATCCGTTGTAATTATCGGAAAGAAATATCTCAAATTCTAATCCAGTGTAGCAAAGACAGATTATATTCACCCGCATCATTGACATCCTCATTCAAAGCCTCTGCTTCCAACAACCACCTACAAAAAATACTTGATATTCATCCATAGGGAAGTGCAACCTGCTAGAAAAAGATTACTGAGCTGAAGAATTATGGAAACTGATTTGGGTAGCTACTCAAGGGTCCCGTCCTTCCGTAGCATAAGACAGACCAGAAACAATAGGAAGATTTTCTAGTGGTCATTTCAGATGGGTTATCTGAAGCGTCCCTAGACAGACCCCGGTTGACCCCGTAAAAATGTCGACTGGCAAGAACACAAAAAACAGAGGATCGGGGTCGAGTTTGTAGGCCTGGCAAAGTTCGAATTCACAGGTGGGGGAAGAGGGGAGCAAAATCGATGGCGAAAGAACTCGGGGAAAAGCAGAAATACCTGTTTGTAGCTGCCGCCGTTACCAGGAATAAAAAGTACAGGCACTCCAGAGAGCTTCAGCAGGTGCAGCTCATTATCGATTTTCTTCCATCCTTCGTGGTACAAGTAAATGGCATACCTATTGGAAGTCATGTTCAGCGGAGGACTGATCGGGATATACGTAGGATACATAAAAGTCATGTTGCAACCATTGGGCACGGGTGTCAGCAGCCACACCAATCCACTTCCCAGTATCCATCCCGCTACAACTATCGACACCACAACCCCGATTCTGAAACTCCTACTCATCAATCCCATCGTTCCAATCTTCCTGCGAATCGAACCCTCCCGCCTTTGCTCTACTCTACATCAGACATCGGCCCCAATCTCACTGCTGCCGCAGCGCGATCCGCAGTCCTCCACAGATCTAAGACGCCCACGCAGGGCCGACATTCCGCACTCCTGACTCCATCTCGATCGACCTTTCGCCCATACGAATGAATTCCTCGACACCCCCTCCAGCGTCGCCTGCGCTTTTTCCTCTCCAGAACCGAACCGGGTGGGGCCTCGGCGCAGGCGCCATTGCCGACGACTGTCAGTCGTCCAGTCTCTCCTACCTCCCGGAAGGAGAAGCAGCGAGCGCGACCATGTGAGGGCCGCCTTCCGCGCTCCCCGCCCACTGTAACCAATGGCTTCTTGCAGCGCCCGCCGCGCCAGCGTTCTCCTATCGCGAGCCCGACCGACTTGCCGAACCTGGGCCTCCCCACTCGTGTCGGCAAGGAGTCCGCCTCCCGGATCGACACCTTCTGACCTTGCGCTTTTCACCCCTCCTTTCACCCGCGGTCGCTTCTTTCACCCGGGTCACCTCGGCGGACCACTTTCAAATTCGAATCTGCCTTCTTCGTCCCCGACATCTGGCCCATCGACGGCTCCCGACCGCTCCTCCGCCGTCGACTGTTGCCTCCACCGGGCTCGTGACGGACAGACTGGCTGTAACCAGGCTGTGCCTTTCACGGCATCACGTTGTCAGGGCGGCTCGGCCTCCACAGCGATCCCTGGATGAAATCACGCGGGGTGACTGCCATGCCCCCGCATTTCCAGCGGGAACCTCCCGCACCCGGTAGCCGGCTACCGTCATGGTGGTTTGTTTCTGGAAAGCGTTGTACTGCTGCCACCTGGCCCCCTACGATGCCCGACCTACGGTCTCTCTAGTGTACGGTTGTATATTCGTACGAGTGCTCTCTTATGTGTTGACTGATGTGTGTTTAGACTTCGGTGGTTCCGTTCTGTAGTACACATCGATTCCGTTGACTCGACGTTCAACGGGGCATGATGTTGCCTCCACGCCTTGTACTCCTCGTCGTTCATTTGATCTCATTTGATATGTAGTTAGAAGCAAACAGGTTATTTGCAACAGGTTTCATTCCATAAAATCGGGGTTTTCGCTGAATTCCATTAATTTATGAATTCAATGACTGCACGCCGTGGTGATTCTATCTCTATATTGATGTCTCGTGCAGGTTTCAGCCTCATCCGAAAGTATATACTCATGTACGTCGTTCATCACATGGAACTCCACAACTTGAACTCCAAAACTGTTTAGATCCGATGAAATTATAATACACCACAGTTATCCCCAGAAACCAAGTAAAAATGTACAAATATCGACAATAATTTCTAACACAGATTTCGTAAGTTTAATATTGTAATGAATGAAATTATATTTATTTTCAATTTGGATATATATCAACAATTATTTTCTATTATATTTTTAAAAGAATTATATTAAAATAAATATTCATTAACGTGACTGAACCTAGGGAACTTTCATGTAGTTTCTAGATAAGTTGGATAGTAAAGTGACGGTTGCCTCCTTGACTTTTTCGACCCAGCTTGATTTTCTCAATTATCTTCCCATTAAATTCAAGTGCGAAATATGTTCCGCTGTTCTAACGAATTGAATTATTCCGACGTGCTGATTTGATCCCGCTTTGTGATTATACCGCATTCTTCTTGTTAGAATTTGCTTCGCGCCTGTTCTTTCCTTTATCTTGTCTACGGTCGTTATGTTACATACGCGGATTGGGTGATGGGGATTGGGCCCGGGTCAAAAAGCCCCGGCCGTACAGATCAAAGTGGTGGTCTCTACCTTCCCCTTTAGCTTCAGGCCGAAAAAACAAGTACCAATGAATATCGAGAAGCTAATATGAGAAACTACTGTACGTTTCGACAAACTTGGTGGTGCTTAAATGTTATCTAACAGCTATCACAGACAAATAAGCATAAGAAATAAACGGAATAATTTTTTGCGAAATTTGTGAACAACCTGTATATAATAGTCTGCTACTTTGAAAATCACCTCAGATTATATGGAGATATTATATAACACAAAAAATTCACATCAACCATAAGTCACTCATTTTCACTAAAAACTATCAAACATATGAATTCTTGAACTTTCTTATCTATCTCTGACATAGATCTCAAAACTGTTACTAATTTATTATAGACATATATTCGTTGTGCCCTATTCAAACAAACTCCTTTCATATTTTAGTGTTTGATTTAAGTTTTACTGCAAGATTTTGTATATAAGTGTACATACATAATATACACAGGTTTTCCAAACCAAATTTTCATTTTCATAACATACCTCAATTACATGTAAATCTATTCAGATGAAAACTATATTTCGTGTTGATCATGCATTGATTATAAACCATATTTAAAAAAAACTAACAAATATTTATATCTTATTTGGCTTGTAGTATATTATTCATTTTATTCTATATATATAATTAATCCGAATCAATTATTCATTATGTCAACATGTATTTTTTCCTACATTTCATCATATTTTTATTATATTTAAAGTTTATACATATATGTTTATATTGTTGTGCACACAATCGAACAAAAAAAATCATACATTATCAAAGTTTTCACAAGATGGAAAAAATGAAGTAATAACAATAAAATCTGCACCCTATTCAAAGCATATGAAAAAATACTTTAATTTTTTGATTATAATACTCAAACAATAGAATTGTGTTTTTTAAGCCATTTTTTGCTACTTAAAATTATATACACAATATCAAAACAATCATGTAATGAATGAAATCTTTTTTAACATTTTTTTGAAAATAGAATATTTGAAAATTCATTTGAATGAAAAATCTATAAATTATATTTTCAAATTTGTATAAAATGAAACTTTGTGAAAAAATACAAGAAAAAATCATATAAAATGAGAATATTACAATTTAAAGTTTTTTTTATAGACTAAAATTTATTTGATATAATTTATCATATACAATTTATTTACAATTGTATATATAATTCATGAATTTTCCAAAAATGAATTTTTAGAAGTATATACATAATTTTATAAAAAAATCTATCATTAACATTGAAGAGTTCAATCCTAGTACTCTGTAAATCATGAAGCAAAATTATTGTGCGGTAGCAATTGTGTGACAACTAGTGATCATGGTTTATCAAAAAATTTAAACTTGTGTTGAATGACAAAGTCTTAACGTAAAACCTAAAACCAAGTACAAATCACATGATACACTCATATAACGTGGTTCACCCTCAAGGGCTACATCCACGGCTGAAACACGCGAGAAGATTTACTGACAAGTGAATACACAATACTTCAGCTCCTGATCGAAGCCTTGGCTTTGGGGGTATATTTATACCCAAAGCCAGCAACACACATAGCTATAAATAGCTAGAACCTTATGTTACTCCTTAACCGAAGTTAACCTCAACAATCTCTCCCTTAACTCGTGTTAAGGAAACAATAAACTCTAAAATCTATATTATTACTCAGCAAGAGTTCTAAATAAAAACCTAACATAAGACCCCTATTTACACAAGAGTTAACTAGAATTAGACCGTAACCATAACTTGATAGAGTAATAACATAAAGAGGTGAATAGAGTTACTATGTTAGCAAATTTTACATGTGCTCCCCATGCAAAACTTGCATGGTAGCAAAATGTCGACTCAAACTCTCCAATGGAATAACTTTGGTCAAAGCATCATCTGGATTTAGTTTAACGTCGATCTTGATTAGCTCAATCGTTTTATCAGACACTGCTTGTCTGATAAAATGATACCTTATGTCCATAAAATGATATATGATGTCAATGTGCTTCACTTTGATATCCATGACCTGTAAGACCGGATACTGCATGTGTGAAATAAAACTCTCTAATGTAGCAAATGTGATAAGAACAAACACTATTCAAAATCCATACATTACCAACAACTGTTGGTGAACTACAGAGGGCATAGCTCTAGCATCATAGACCGTCGGTAAACACATATTCCTTTTCGGAGTGAAGATGCTCCGCAACATTGCTACTTGCAACTTGAGAAAGATTCGCATCTCTTATTGGCATCCGACAATACTTCTTGATATGGCCATTTTTGCCACATCTCCAACACACCAAGTTCTTCAAGTTCCTCTTGTTATGGGATGGAACCTGAAACTAAACTCTCTTGCGCTCATGAGATCTGGATCTCTCCCGCTTGAACCATGTATGCTGCAGGTTATCATGGCCCGATGATTGCGCCTGACCCTGGATCATAGTAAGTGCAGTACTTGAAGTGAATGGACGAGAGAATGACAACATCTCATGTTCCACCGCGTATGCCAGGAGAGCACTTACAACCTCGTTGTAAGTTACAGCCTTGTTATCACAATGAAGTAGAATCTTTGATAGTGTTTGGTAGGAGGAAGGCAATGAGTGAAGTAGATGCATAACTTTCTTAATGTCAGAAAGCTCCTCTCCCATACTTTGAAGATCTACCAACAAATCTCCGTAGGCGTGGATGTGATATTGAATTCTTGATCTCGGCCTCATACTAAAATTCAATAGCCTCATATAGGTGTTCATCACATGGGAGATTTCCTTATGATGAAACCGTCTCTGTAGGGCATCAAAAAGCTGTGTAACCTCAGAATACTCCTCAACTTGTTTCATAACCGAAGGATTTAGATAACCCATCACAATGTAGACTGCTTGCTTTTGTGAATCCTTCCAATCAATGTCGGTAATGTGCATTGGTTTGTGTTCAAGCACATTTGCAAGACCTATAGATCTCAACTTGCCTTTCACGTGCTTTTTCCAAAGCAAGTAATCGGATCGGGCATCAAGAGGAAGAATGTTGTACCCTGTTCCTACAACTTGTTTCGAGGTCATTTCAGTTCGACAAAAACTAGAGATACCGTCTGTTGCCACATCAATTTTGTCCTTCGGGTGCATTTTCAGCTCCTCAAAATGGTTAAGATGCACTTTACATCCGTCACCCGCGACTCTTGTCGCCGGTGAACACCGTCGCCCGCAACTGAAAAGATCTGTCACCGGCGACTGCCGTCGCCCGTGACCACCGTCGCTATTAGGACTACCACCATCAATACCACCGTTGACAATGTTGTTGCTGACAACGAGTGCTGGCGCGTAGACCACGTATGCACCGACCACGTCTACATAGCGCTGACCAATTTTATATATTTTTTTTATTTATATTTATTTTACGTCCACAACTCACCACGTTTGCCCCCGACCACGTTCACAGTGACCTCCTTCGATTACAACCACGTTGAATCTCAAACCACGTTGTACTCACCCTGACCACGTCCAACTACGAATGTGCAGAACCCTAA